TGTTTTGATTTTATTGGTAATTTATTACTATTTTTGCTTTGTTGCTTTATTTATTTGTATTTTTATAACTTACGTTACATAATATTTTTATTTTTCTGTAATTTTCTTCTGCAAATAAAAACCAAAACAAATGGATTTTTATCAAAAAGAAGAATTGATTAATCAATTTAAACAAGAGAAATACTTTATTTCAGTTTCGAAAATACTTAAGACTTGCAAGATTTCCAAAATTACAAATCATTAATGAAGTGAAAAGAGGAAAAAAATCTCTTACGTTACTTTTTAAAATGAAAGCTTCTTTCTTTTTCTACTTCTAAAATATGTCTGACGAAAAAAATACCAGAAAAATATTCATTCATAATTAAGAAATACTACCACATTTAAGCTTCCTTTTTAAAATATACTTTTAAAAAAAATGGCTGATACTGCACAATCTATTTTTACCACTTATGTTCAATAAATGCTGAAATCTACTTTTCTGTTCTCCTATTTCGGGTCTTTCGAGGGGGGATATTTTTTTTATTACATCAAATCTTCTAAATCTCTTTTATTTTCGAAGCTATTCCCTTGTAATGTTCCACCAATCTTCAACATTACGAAATGTTCTCGACTTGAAGATACGTTTCTTATGAATTTATGATGCGTATTATTTATATAGAATGTTAAATTATCGAATTAACACTGAATCAAAATATATAAATATTTTTTTTGCTAGAATATTTTAAACTTTTTCGTTCTTTCCATTTAGTGATTGATTTAAAATGCATTACTATTTTGTGAAATAAAAAAAACCTATACTCTTCAAAGAATTCGAAATAATTAAGAATACGATTAAACTGAACTGAAGAAACTGAGGTGTTTAAAATTCATGACGTAACATGAGAAATTCTATCACGTGTTCTGCATTGAATTCGAAACTGAAATACGAAACTTGCACTTGTCTTTCTACTTGTAAAATTTAAATAAAATTTCAAGGTTTGATGATTGGGTGAAGTTGTTCTTTTATAGAAGATTCTTCAAAAAAGTTTTCAAAATAAATAAAAACGTTTTACACCTTAACCATAAAACCGGTGCTTCTAAATCAAGTGCATTATGGTAATGCGCGTTATAATTGTTAACAAATATGCGATTTTAAAAGAAAATTTCTTTAAAAAAGCGAAAGTTGGCAACAATGAAGCGCATGAACAAATTGGCTAGAAACACGTGATTGTATTTATCATGTGATTATGTCACACGAATTTAACTCATTAATTACATCAACACTCATACATGTCATTACTGATAATTACCAGTAGAAGTTGGTCAATTTGATTAATTAGGCATCATTTATTGAAAATTTAACGTAATTTTAATGTATATGTGTTCTGTGATAATGAATCAGTCGATGAAAACATTAGTAGAATTCAAAAAGAATCATGATTATATATAAATATATATATATATATGTAACGAAATAATAGTTTTTAATCATACTTATAATTTAAAATAGCAGCTCTATATAAGAGTTCAGTTTGGTTTCCTTTTATGTCTTATCATACCTATTCATAAATGATAATTTTGGAAATCTATTGCATCATTAAACATCAGTAACGGAAATATCTTGTTACAAGAGTAGAAAATTATTTCATTGAATAGATTCCATTGGTAATTATTAATAATAGGAAATACAATAGGAAAATTCTCATAAATTATTCACTTAAAACATATTACTCTTGTTTATTATTAATAATTGTCTGTTACTATTAAAATAGATGTTTAATCACATTGGCTGTAAAACAAACAATTATATATACATATGTAAAATATATATATATATATACATATGTATAAGTAAAACTATTTTTGTTAGTAAACAAAAAATTTTTTGTATGAGTAAAAAAAGTTGTAGTTTGACAGTATTAATTTTAATGACTTAAAAATAATTAAATTCATTGTTTTCACTTAAAATATGCGTTTGATGGATCTTCCAAATTAATTAACAAAGTTGGCGAATTTGTATTTTAAATCGCTATTTTTTGGCAATTGTAGAAAAATCACCTGGATTTCCTTAAAAACTAAGAAATATATCTGTTAAAAAGTCTTTCTATCAGAATTCAAGTTAAATATAGTTAAAAAATTCAGACTCTTTTATCTTTACTTTTTCGATTTTTACGATTTATTCAACATTTTTTTCTACGTAAAATATTCGATGGAGATTATATTATGATTAAAATATTTAAGAATATTCGACTACATTCTTTACATAAATTCGACAATTTCAATAATTTTTTCCCATAGAGATGTGAATGAAAATTGTTTTCCGTAAACAAATTCCCAAGAAAAAATAAATACATAAAAAAAAAAATTTAAAAAAAAATTTAAAAAAAAAATTGTAGCGCAAAATGTGTGGTCAATACTAAAAATCCAATCCAAAAATTTTTTACAGTTTAGGAAGTATAAATATGAGATATACGCACAAGTCTTTTCAGAGAGGCAAACTAGTAATATTTAAGGTTTAAAAAAAATTAAAAAATTTTGAATTATTTGAATTAATAATGCAAAGTGCAGTCATTATGTTTTTTTTTGTAAAGAATCTTTTGAAAATTTAAATCATATTCTCTCCAAATTCCTTTTTTTGTATTTTAATTTCAATTAAAATGTGTTTCATTTCAAAGAATTTTTTCCTTCAGTGATTTTATATTTATCTGTACATTTTCTATTCTTATTTAAAAATGTCTCTGTTTTAAAATTTTAAATATTATCAAAAGAACAGGTAAATGTCGGGAAAACAATAGCAAATAAGTAATACTGAGCTTGTTCAGGGAAATATATTGTTTTATTTCATAATTTTTTCCTAAGTGTAAAAATAAATTGGAACAATTTTTAATCTATTTTATAATTTTTAAAATTAATTTGAATATGTAGATGTTTTTGTTATTCATTTATTATTATTAAAAATGCGTTTGCGTATTTCCATAAATATTCATTAAAATATTTCTATTAACCAAAACAATTCTTTTTTTAAAAAAAAAAAGAATAGTGTTTTAATGAGTGATATTAATTTTCATTTTTTTACTTCTTAAAGTATTTAACAAAGGGATTATTTTAAAATATTTTAGCTCTTTATTGAGTGCAAAAAAAATCGTAAATATTTTCTTTAACTTTTACCAATAATATTTCGGTGCAACAAAACACGTTACTTCCTGATTTTTGTAGTGACATCTGTTTTATATTTATTTTAAATCCTTATTGTATGATCTTAAGTAATTTAACACATTTTTAAAAAAATACTTTGCTTCGCTTTTTCAATTCTGATTTTCATTTTAATCAAATTAAACAAACGAACCCATTTCCTTAAATAAATAAATTAAATGTTAATTCTTTTAAATTTCCCTGGAATAGCATTATAAATATAATTTATAAAAAAGAAAAGTCAATGTTACATGAGTTTTTGAATATAAAAATTCCTTTATTTTTATATTAGTTTACTTTTTCTATTAAGCCATTAAATGATGAACAACGGAAAAAAAGTTTTTAACACGTTTAAGCTGCAAAAATTTGCAGATGAAAGATTGTTTATCCAAGTCGAAATTTGAAACTACGTGTTTCTATAGACATGAACCTCGTAATTTTGGACTTTGGTTAAATGACAAGGACAGGATCTGACATCTGGCCACCCCATTCTTCAAATTTCAGCACCATGCCAACTTTTAGCCTAGACACACTCAACGCTAATCAATTCCTCTATAGTGTGGGTTTTTAATGGCACAATATTATATATATATACAGTCGACTCTCGATAATTCAAACTTTCGATAAATACGAACCTCTCGATAATTTGAAGTAAATGCTCAGTCCCTAGGAAAACTATTGATATTACGAATAAAAACAATACGTTTGGGTACACTCAATATTTCGAAGTAAAATCTGTGGCTGGCCAGACTATAACACGCATTAATTCGAAGTTATCTTATAAAGCTCTTGACAATTCGAACACTCGCTATCATGTAGAGTCCTGAAACAAACAGGTTGGAGCTCACAAGTATTGTGCTGTATTGTCTCTGCGTGTCTCCCCTGTAACATAGCCCCTTTAATCACCATCTATCTGTTACCCACCTTCTCAGTGTTTTCCGTTTCATCAGGCGAAAACACACATTCATTGCTTTTCTTCTGCAAATGGACAATAGACCAACCGCACCTGTTGTCAGCCGTCCATATCTTTCGTTTAGCACTTGGCCTTGCTACTCATGAGTTCAGAAAGGGTGGTTCACTTTTGTGAAGAAGAGATGCGTATGATTGTGTATGAGTATATTCTTTTAATATATGACTTTTAACTTCTGTATAATATTTATATTGTTTAATATGTACTTTTAAAAATAATTTTTACATATGTACAATTGTTGTTTTACTACATAGTTTCAAATTTAAATGTGTTGGAAAATTTCTCTTTGTATATTTTGGGAGTTTTTTTTTCTTCTACCTTCTTGATAATTCGAAGTTTTCCGTTGGTCCCTACAACTTCGAATTATTAAGAGTCGACTGTGTATATATATATATATATATGGCCCAGAGTATTGGCAAATTCAGGTGAAGATTGGCTGGCCGAAAAACATTGTTTAAACCTGCAATCCTGGTTCCTAAGGCCAGGAGTTTGATCTAGTACTATTGTGGCTAAGACTATTCTATTATGACTATAGTTATCTTAGGTTTATAACTATTTTTTGTAAATTTTTGTTATATATATATATATATACATATATATATATACATATATATATATATACATATATATGTATATATATATATAATAAAAATTTTAATATTCATGTTCATATTTTCAACCGTTAATAAAATACTTTCTATTCATTCATTCAAGTTCAAATACATTTTTTAAACTTGCAGAGGATGACACTTGATGTTAATACAGATTTTTCAAATATTAACTTGTTAATTAAATTAAAAAATGAATAAATAGTAACAAACACAAAAATAATAGTCCAACAGCGTATATAGAAAGGAAAATCAGGGCAGTGAAAAGCGCTTTGGACTTCTAATCCAAAGGTCGTGGGTTTGAATCCCGCCTGGGATGGCGTGATTTCTGAGAATGTGTGATTTCTTTTTTACTATGCTATTTTATAAAATAATTTAATTTAATTGATGAAAAATAGTATCAAACAAAAATATATAATAGTCCATCACCCTATACAAAAAGAAAAATGGAAAATTGCTTTCTATTTTGTTACTTAATATTGTGATTCTGTCATACGTATCTACATATTTATAATTATTGTAACTATTTAATAAAAAGTAAAAAAAAAATTTACTTTTTTGACCTAAGTAGGAATTGACTTATTTTTTTATATTACTTGTTTTATGTATAATTACATTTTATAAAATTATAAATCAATACATGTGCAGAGTAGCAATTTCAATACATCTTATTAACACTAAATAATTTTCAAAATATACTTTTTCTAAAATCTTTCTTGAGTTTAGTGATAAATAAGGGTGGCTCAAGGTACATTTTCCCCCCTGACTCATTCTTAAAAAAGTCCACCTCCAACTGCCTTATATGATCGAACATTGTATTCCAAATTGACATTGAACGCATGGGGTTCATTGGAAATGCAGCATATTAAGTTATTGAGTACCCGAAAATCTTCATATATTGACAGGATGCGGATATTCAGAGAATTTATAGGAAGCTTAGATGTTATGCCTGTCATTTGACCACTGTCCAGAATGATGATAGTCAGCGTATTAGCTCATAACACGCTGCTGCAGTGTAATATTCATCGTAAATTAAACTCCCATCTAACTTACCGCCATCTTGAATACGGTAAGATAATGTTAATCCTATACAGAGAGATTTCCCTTTCCTTGAATCTAGACCAGCGTTTCTCAAACAGTGGGACGCGCCCCCTCGGGAGGAGTGATAAGGGGGGACACATTAAAACGGGGGGTTGAGCACATTAAAAAGTCGAAAACAAAAGATTTTTTTAAAAAAATCATTAAATTAATGAAAGTAAACAAACAAAATACATTCTGACATAATAAAAATTAAAATACACTTTTGCACTGATATAAAATACTTAAAAATGTAACAGTACTGCACAATAAATTTTATAACTAACTTAAGGTATCCGACACAACTTTTTTTTTTTTTTTACAAAAAGGGAGATATGTGGATTTTTTTGTTGTTTTTAGATTTTTTTAGTCCATTTAAAGAAAAATATGCTAAAATTAAGAAGAGAAAAATGAATTATTATATGGGATAAAATGGGTAAAAATTGACAAAAAATAACATAAACGCTGTCCATTCTGTACCAAAGGTTTATGAACAAATTTTCAATTTTTCAATTCTGATGTGTTGCTACGTTATTCATTGTCAAAATGACCTTCAGGATAAGAGATATTTTAATTTTTACAAAACCTAGAGCACTTTATCTCAGTTACTATATGAAATTGCTTAAAAAACAGTGATTATATTCATATGAAGGACTGTAAATTTTGTAATAAAACAGTGATTGATAATTCTGAAAGTTAAAGCACTTCTACTATTACACGGAGCTTACACAAAAAATTTCAGTTAATTTTTTTAAAAACTTTCTGAGCAATTTTTGCTGGTTTCGTTTGATTATTTTCAAAAAATCACATTTCGAGTAAAACGCGTTTTAAAGTGTGACATCTTGCTTAAAGTAATGGTATCTGCTTTTACCAAAACACTTGTAGTTTTTGTTCTAGTGAACGGAACATGATGATCTTGATATTTTTATGAAGCTAATATAAGATGGCCTATAAAATAAAATCATAAAAAAATTTGTCAATTTTTGGCGAAATTCCCAATTTTAGGGTAGTCGGATACCTTAACAATACTAAGTTACAAACAAGTTTAATAATTACCATTGACCCCACGGGATTGTCATGTACAAAAATTAAAACTCATCTTCATAATTTGTACGAATTATAATTAATTTCTTAACTGCCGATTAAAAGTTACGCGATTCGCTAGCCTATGGCACCGTTTTCCACGCAGTCGCACGTATGTGATGTATCTGGAGGAGACTGAAATTTGGAAATCTTTCGCAAACACTATCAAGGTAAATTTTTTTTGCCTTCCAAAGTCTTTGGAATAATTTTAAGGATAGCAGTGCACAGAGAAGATCGTGCTTTGGAAAGACGTATATATAAACGACCGGGATAATTAACGCTTTGGCTGAGAGAGACGTTTATATACGCCTGTCGAACTTAAGATGTTAAAGTCGTATTGTAGCTTTAGCGTCATAGTATTACTGAATTAAATACATTGTTATTGTACGGAAGGGGGAGGCGAAGAAAATTATGATTGGATATTGAAAGTTTGAGAAACACTGATCTAGACTATAGTATTTATTTTAAAGGATCCGAAAAATACCAAGGTAGAAATATTATTTGTTTATAGGCTTTTATCCACCAGATTTCAAAAGGGGATTTTAGATATGTTTCTGGAAAATATATATAAAAAAATCAAATATAAAAGAGCAACAAAAAAAGGGGAGGGGGAGGGGGATTCTGTATTTTCATTCCCTTGAGTGGAATAGAATAAATGCAATATTTTCGATTTGAGAAGGCTGTTAGAAATTCCATACCAATAGAAGCCACTACTGGCCTGCTTTCCTGGGCATTTCATGAGGTTGTATCATTACATGTTGGTTTTGAATTATTGTGTTATCTAAGTCCAAGTATTAAGCATTCGATTGCATTGACAAATAGTATTTTTGTAAATCCCGCTCCCTAATTTAAAAAGTGTTGGACTTGAATTCCTAAAACAGAAGTACGTTTATCTTTTACATCTCTCTAACCTCCTCCCCGGTGGAGTAGATTATTGCAAAACTCCTTTTTAGCGGATCTCTACTCTATAAAAGAAACATGCTTGCCAAAATTCAGATCTGCAGATCTAATAATTCAGAATCAGAATTTCTCGTATCTAGAACTCCCCTTTAAAACGCTTTTGGAGTCTGTTTCCACATATCTCATTCGTAGAGGATATCTACTCAACAAAAGAAACACGCGTGTCAAATTTCTACTCTATAGGTATAATTGTTGCAAAAGGGGAATTTTTTTCTGTAATGCCCCCACAACCATTCATGGGAATCAGTTTTCGCAAAATCCGCTCTTTGGGAATCTTTACTTAACAAAAGGAATATGCCATCTAAGTTTGAAATCGGTTGGTCTAGTAGTTACGGAGATCTCCTGATGTGAGTGAGTGAGTCACTTTTCTCCTATATAAAGATAGAACTTAACATGTAACACTTTAACCGAATTATATATCTGGGATTATATTCAAATATAATATTAATTAAATCAACTCCAAAGAAATTTATTATGAAAAACCATATTTTAAATTCATCTTTCACTAAGCGGCCAACTTTTCGACCAACCATTTATCTTAAGGAACCGTCTTTCTTAGAGACATGTTTCGCTTTGGTTAATGCGCCCTCTGTAGCTCTTTTAGGATTTTGTTTATATTTTGGATTGACCACCCCCCCCCCCCCTTAGGAAGAAGAAGCTTATTTAGTTTCTATCCTTTAAAACTAGTTATATGTACTTATATTAAAAACGAAGAAATGACACAGCACAGTCTACCCAAATACGTTTGAAAAAAATACTGAAACAAGCAATAAAGTTGATTACTAAAAAAAACTGGAATATCGTTTATTTTTTGTATGAGTTAACGTTAATATAAAACTACGAAATGCCATTAGCAACAAACCTTTGTAAAGATCGCGGGAGACTTGTTATCATAGTCAGAAACTCTTGGCTGACATTGTTGATTATTAACCTTGTTCTCTGAAGCTATACAAAGTATATCGGAAACGGGCCTCGTTATTGTGAACCTCGGTCAAGTGATGAAGACGACAACTGAAGTGTCCTTCCAATCTACAAATTTCCCCACCATGCCAATTTAACATATTTAACGTGTATCAACTCTCTATAACAGGGGTAGGCAAACTTATAGCTGTGGCGTACCCAACGAATCTACCAATATGATTCAGCTTGTCACACAATAGAACATTTTTGAAACAGTTCAATTCCCGCGATAATGCATGCTGAATCAGTGAGTGAATATTAACGTCGCACTGTTCAGCTACACGAGGGCTTTTGGCGACAGACCGCGTAATTTGAACCATGGTCAAGTGACGCGAACCACACCTGACCTGGCACCCCCCTCTCCTAACTACCACACCAACAAGAGGACGTTTGAGCTCTCGACAGATTTACCGTGCATCACTTCCCTACACGGTGGGTCTTCAGTGATACTGGGCTCGAACTCATGACACGCTAGCCATGATCCGATACCTTGACCACTTGGCTACCGCGGCCACCATTCTGAATCAGAGAATAGAGGTTATCTAAATAGATTTGCAGTTTTATTATATATTAATTTTACATCTCACTTAAAGATATTTCTTAACATAAAAATAAACAGCATAAAGTATAACCATTTCTACAACACAATTTAAAAAATTGAAATTATACATATACTATGTATTTTTAAACATATTTATTAAAATAAGAAATAGGCAACATAAAATATAAGTAGGTTTTAAGTAGCACCAGGACTCAAAACTATGATTCGACAGAAACGAAGCTGGCCCCGAGTGTGTGATTATAATGTCTCGCCCAGCGGGGGCATTGGCTGATACCTGAGCCAAAGCCGTTCTTCAAGAGACTAATGTGTTTTCGATTAAAATATCGACCGCTTGTTCTGTAAAGACTAACCATCCTCTTTCGATGCATCCATAAACAAATATTGACTTTCTGATTTAATTAGACCAATTAACTTCAAGCACATAATTAGAATACTTAAATAAGCAAAAATATATCCTTTTCTAAATTTAAAAATTTCGGCAAATAAGCAACCTACGGCGGAAGTTAGTAAGTAAGTACCATCATCTTCGCCTCGTGACATCACTTCTCGGATGCATTTAGAAGGAATCTCTGGGGAGCACGTGAAAAAGAATGAAGAAGCAAGCGCCCGTATCAATTAATTGCTCGGCACAGTCCTTCCATACACTAAATAGGAAAGGATGCAATTAATTCGAACGA